TCAGAAACAGAAGTAATCCTATATACATTACACATAGCAGATCCCATACAGGTCTGACAGGCCCACTAGCACAAGGCAATGATGAGATTGATCGTTTATTAATTGGAAGTGTGCTAGAAGCCTCAGAATTTCATAAGAAACATCATATAAATAGCAAAGGTTTGAAAAAGGACTTCTCCATCACTTGGCAACAAGCCAAGGAGATAGTAAAAAAAACTGTCCTACTTGTTCCTTTTCTAATCAAACTCCATTGCCAGCAGGTTGTAATCCTAAGGGCATTCCGAGAAATGAGATTTGGCAGATAGATGCCTTTCACTTTGCAGAATTTGGAAATTTGAAATATGTGCATCATACTATAAACACATTCTCAGGGTTTCAATGGGCTACTGCTCTTAACTCTGAAAAAGCTGATTCTGTTATCACACACCTTCTAGAGGTGATGACAGTTATTGGTATACCTGTACAAATAAAAACTGACAATGCTCCAGCATATGTCTCCACAAAATTGGAACAGTTTTTGAAATATTATAACATAAAGCATGTCACCAGTATACCACACAATCCTACAGGACAAGCAGTAGTTGAGAGATCTAATGGGACACTAAAGGAGATGCTCAATAGACAGGCTTGGAAGACTAAACCCCCCAAACGTAGGTTGCATAATGCTTTATTAACACTAAACTTTCTAATGCCAATGGGAAAGGACAAACAGCTACAGAAAGACTATGGAAAAAAACTGCTGAATTCAATCAGCCTGTATACTTCAAAGATGTACTAACCTCTGTATGGAAACCAGGACATGGGGTAGGGGTTTTGCATAGTTTCCACAGGAGAAGAAAAACTTCGGATACCATCAAAGTTGATCAAGATTCGAGTGGAAAAGGAAAAACCTCTCAACGAGGACAAATGACAGGTATTCTACTAAGATATATCTTATAAACTAAATAGAAACCTCCCAAAGGAAAGGGAAGTGATTTTCTGTTATCTTCACAGAAAAACTGATCTCCAAAAGGCAAAGGACACTGCATGGGTAGATATTTAAGAAGAGAAGGTAGCTATAACCATCAAACAAAAGGAACGTGCCATACGGTAAACTTTACAGCTATCTCTCAGAGAACTCTATTTCTCTTTATTTCCTAGTCCCTATTCAATTAAACCAATGCTGGATTTAGAGGTGGATTTGGCTTTCCTCCTCTAAATTCAAGCACGTTGTTTAAACTTTTTTTAGAGTTTCTGTATTGTATCAAGAAGCCAATTGATGTAATACAGAATAAGAGAAGAAGTTGGCCAGAGTGTCAATTGAAATGGAGAGAGTTGGATCCAGTACATTGAGGAGGTGTGGCCCATTTTCTTTCCAGGGTGTCCAGGGATTGCTGTCAGGCAGGTCTTCATTGGCTGTGTGGGACTCAAACATAAACAGCAGAGAAATGTTTGCTTGTGTATGTATGCATACTAGGAAAGACAACCATGGGAGCATAACAACTATGAGAGGGTGTAACCTTGAAAGAAAGAGCCAAGAAAAGACAGTCCCCAACTTCTTCTCTTATTCTGTATTACATCAATTGGCTTCTTGATACAATACAGAAACTCTACAAAAAGTACTGACTTTAATCAAGTTGAGGATTTCAACCTAGATCTTCAATCAAGCGAATTGCATCTAACATGGACTGGATACAATCCATTCAAGACTTTCACTACACTAACATTTTCTTCCTACAGGACCCCACAAGGCTGCTGTCATCCCATTTCAGCAGGAAGTAACTTGGAGAATGCTACACCTCCTTTCCCCCATTGTTGTCACTTAGGATAGTGTATATACCTAGTTAGGGATAGTTTCCTATAGTTTAGGCTTGGGATTGGAAGGAGATGTTCAGACTTGGACACCCCTTTCAGATGACTTTAGGGTTTAGTTAAAATAGACATAATTAGGATGTGACATAAGCAGATTGTTGTATCTTCTTATATTTCACCTTTATGATTGTTAATTTTGGATACTTTACACTGTTAAGTTTTAATCCTCTTTTAGACTAAAAGGGGAATTGTAGGGGATGCTGTAGCCACGTCTGCTTAGGGGCTGGCTACAGGTGTGCCTTACCACGCCTACGAGGCCGTGGTCAGGGTGATGTAAGGAAAGTTTAAGAGTGAGACCGCTCTGCTTTCATTTTCATCTTCGGCTTGCTGTACAGACTGCTGCCCGCCAGCTGGCTAGGTCACTCAGTAAGTAAGGCTTTTCCCTATTAAATTCCCTTGTATTTAATTGGCTCCATATTGGTATTTTCCCACATTAAACAATCACCCTGGTTGGGGCCCTGCTGTCTTTATTGCCGGGCATCTCTGTTGGAAGCACCTTCAGGTTAGAAGAACCCTCAGGTGGAATTTGGCTGTGGGTAAATTCCCCTCTTCTTATACTGTTCTTCTGCACAGGCAACTGGCTCTAGAAATTTTTTTTGTTTTGTTTTGTTTTTCGAGATAGGGTTTCTCTGTGTAGCTTTGGTGCAGAACTCACAGCGATCCGCCTGCCTCTGCTTCCCTAGTGCTGGGATTAAAGGTGTGTGCCACCAACACCCGGCTAGAAATTTGGTTTTAATGATCAAATGAAAATGAAACTTAAAAATCGTCCCTGCAATGGCATGATGGTCCAGTGGGTCAAAGTAGCTGCAACCAAGCTTGACAAAATGACACACACACACACACACACACACACAATGTAATTTAAATAAACAATTTAAAACCCCCTTCTTTTCTGAAGCATAACTTGAAGACACATTTCTTACTGATACAATTGCATCTTAGTCACAATATAAAAGGATGATTTCATTCTTATTTTTATTATACTAACTTAGCCTCTCTTAAAATAGAATTTGATGCCACACAAAGAAGTTGGTATTCTTGGGTAACAGGAGTCACTATGTCACTTGGTCAAGCTGGTAGCTGGAAAGGGCATAACCACATTCCCTGGTGGTTAGCTTGCTCTTGAGGCCAGGGCAAGCAGAAGGGAAGTCAAAGGACAAGGAGTAAAAATAATAATCAGACTTCATATATTTCTCTTCCATTATATTATTGCATTTTTTCAAAAAATGAAACAAAATCCCCTCACATTTAAGACTTTCTACTACATTTCATAAACAAAATGCCTGAGATTAGGGCACTTGTCTCTAAACATTCAGCAAGTTACTAGGGAAGAAAGACTGTGAACCTTCAGGGATAGAATTACACCTTTGACCTCCCATTTCTTTTACCTTCCACAGCTTAAGACAGGCATAAGCAGGCAGGCTTCAGCTCCGCAATCTTTTCAGAGCAGCTATGGACAGGCAGATGTCCTTTTTCCAGGAGTTCTTACCATCATGTGCTCGCCACAGAAGATGATCCAGAAAGAAAGAAGCATTGCATAGAAAATGCCCTGTCGGATGTCGCCAAATAACAGCATCCAGGTCCAGTCAAATCCAATGGAAAACCATTCCACAGGGATATTGATAAAGGTCATGGAAATCCCAAGGGCAAAAATGACTCTGAGAAAATACCCAGAAGAGCCAGGTTACTCTGGAGAAAAGATTTAAAAATCTAAAACCAATTTGAGAACTGAGATGTTATTTATTCAGACTTTAGCCAGTTGATCAGTTTCTCAGCATTCATGGTAAATTTCCACCCTGGGATGCAAAATGTCCTAGCTTGCATCTCTATAAAATGAAGGAGAGTAACACTAACTTCTGGGTAACTAAATGGAGCTCCCTGAAAGATGCATACTTTAACCCTGTTGTCTTCTTAAACAGATATACTTTAGTATAACTGTACCCTCTTACATCTTCATAATATCACTGACCCAATCATTAAGAATATGCATCATAAGTCATTACTGTGACATGCTTGACAACTGTTAATTGTGTAAGTATATTTGTTTCAATAAAAAACTATATAACTACACATAAATACAATTGGCTTCTTGTTTTGATTTTCCTTCACCACACTATCACTTGCCCCTTCTTTATTAAAATGCCATTCTGATTTATTTAAACATTTTTCATATACACAAGATACATATGTATAACATAAACAATGTACTAAAAATACTGTTAAGGCTTCAGATACATATATGGGAAAGACCAATAGGTTTACCCAGGGAACTGCATTTAATGGAAAAGCCAGAAAAAGAGGCATTGAGATAAGTTGGTAAGCAACATCATCACAATTTAGAGGCTCAGAACACTGCCGGGGTTGCCTATTACGGAGACAGAGACTAAGTGCAGGAAGAGTTGAGGAAATAGAGGTGAGATGGCAGAGAGTGGAGTCTAAATGGATGCAGAGGCTTGGAAGAGCTAGGAATATTTATAGGTCTACATGTAGTACATTTTCAGAAATAAAAGAGGAAGAGCTTATGAAGAAACTGATATTAAGTTTATCTTAAAAGAGACTAGGAAGTCAATAAAAATTAAATACTACAATTACACCATTCATTCACTCAACAAATACTCACTTAAAATTATAAAGACGGATAAAGATAAAAAGAGAATGGAGAGTGATTTAGATAGGGTGAATGGGGGAGGGTAAAGCACAGCAATGAGAAACATCAAGATAGGGCTTGGGGAGGGCCTAGGCCCTGACCAGGATGATATGACAGACTTTGGGGATTCCCTATGGAGGGCCTTACCCTCCCTGGGGAGCAGAGCGGGGATGGGGTGAGGGGTTGGTGGAGGTGGGGGAGGAGGGGAGGAAGAGGAAGCAGGATTGATATGTGAAGCAGGCTTGTTTCTAATTTGAACTAATTAAAAAAATAATTTCTTGGGAAAAAAAAAGGCCGGGCTTAAAAGAAAGAGTAATGAGGTATTAATATACCTGGGAAGTACCATTTTAGATAACAAGAACAAGTTCAAAGGCCTTGGGGTAAAAGCTTAGAATGCAAGGCATTTGAGTGCTATCACAGGTGCGATGAGATCCAATGGAGTTTATAGGACAAGGCAAAGCTAGTGGACAGCTTTCAGCAGAGAGTGGAGTGATTTTATTGCCACTTAAAGGGACAATAAATATTTCTCTGTGTGGGAGGCTTTGGGTGAATAAATTGTAGTAAAGAAAATAGTGCAAGGAGGTGCTTTTAATAACAAACTTGAGCAATGATGTGGGTGATCAGATTAGGGGGGTATTGATAGAGACAGTAAGACTTCAAGGGGATTTAATAGAGGTGTGAATAACAAATAGAATACTAAGTGGCTTCCTTCTTTCCAGTCCAGCAAGAAAAAAGAAAAGAAAAGAAAAAAAAAAGAGTAGCCTTTTATCAATATGAGGAGATCTAGAAGAGCTATAGGTGGCAGCAGAAAGAAGTCAAGTATTCTTTATATTACATTACTAGCAGAGTTAACAAAGAAAGGAGGTACAAAGTCTCTTCTCTGGTTCAACAGTGTAAAAGACTAGAAAAATGGGAAAACAGTAACGAAGACAAAGTGATGATGAGCAAAGGAATAAGCAATAGGGTTGTGTGAAGGAAAGAGGGTGATTAGCTATGTAGAATGCTGATTATGGGTCAAGGAAGGTAAAGACTAGAAGCCAACTATTAGATTCGACTATGGAGGTGATTCATGAGCCAGTGAAATGGCATAGTGGAGATCAACCAACATTAGAATGGAATCATCAGAGAATTGGAACAGATATGTAGGCAAGATTTTTGAGGATTCTTATAAAAGGAGAAAATGGTATAATGATTTAAGAAGGAAGTACTTTCTCATGGTATAGCTTATGCATATATAATATTAATAGAAGTGAGACTGCAAACCAGAGAAGCTGTTGATGTGAGCAAGGCTATAGCTACAGGGACATCATCCTGTGTGTGGGAGGGTTTGAATATAGTTGGGAATGGAACAGTTCATCCACTAACAGAGAAAGATCTGAAATCTGATCATGGGAAAGAACAGCAAAGACAGCAATGTGAGGAGGAGCACTATGAAGATTTACAAATAATTTGTATGTGAAATCTGAAGGAGACAAAGAGCCCATGATGACTCTTAGTCAATTCACCAACTGAACTCACACAATGGCTAGTTGAACTAGACATTCAAAATAAGAGCATGGCAGATTCTAGAAAATTGCATTTTCTAACAGTGATCTGAATCATTTCTTACTTTTCCAGTAGCACTGGGGGTCTGGACATCATGGAGATCCTCCTCCAATACCACACCATAATGATGAAGATACTGGGTGTGAGGAAGGTCTTCATAGCAAACCACACTTTAGTGAAGCCTCCATTTTGGTGGATTCCCTAGACAGAAACCAATTATAATTCTGGAGACGAATAAATATTAGTGTTTTTAATGAATAAATACAGATGAACGAACAGTTTGCCTACAAGAAAGTGTTCATAGTCATATAAGATACTGCCCTCATATACCCTCTGTCACCTCCTTAGATATAGAAATATACTAAAAATCATAAAAATGGGCCATGCTATGCCAAAAGATTAAGAACGTAACCAAAGTTTTTTTTTTTTTTTTTTTTTTTTTTTTTTTTTTTTTTTTTCCTGCAAGGCCTTCATTCAACATTGGAGATTGTAACACAAAAAATAGAAGACTTGGAGACTGATATTTGGGTTCAAACTTCAAGCTGAAGATCAGAAAAGCATTAGCTCATACTCTACCTCAGACTGAAAGGCGATCCTGGCTCTACCAAACCTTAGACTGTAACCTCTCCTCAGCGTGGATGGAGAATCCTGAGACTTCAATGTCTTCCTATCCTCAGTGTGGCTGGAGAATGAATCCCTCATACTGAGACCTTGCCTGTGTTATATACCTCCCTAATGCTATGATTAAGGGTCCGTGATCCCAGGTGTTGAGATCATCTTTGTATGAGCTGTTTCTCTTTAGAACTGGATCAATCTTGTGTAGATCTGGGTAGTCTTGAACTCACACCTCTTAATCGTGAATCCTAGTATTAAAGGTGTTTACCATCACCTCCAATCTTTTGGCTGCTGGGATTAAAGGTGTGTATCACTACTGCCTGATCTCTATAGCTTGAGGCTGACTTTGATTTCTGAATCCTCAGGCAAGTTTAATAAATCATAAATAAAATATCAACATAGGAGATAACACATAGGTCCAGTAAGCCAAATTGAAAAGTAGATTTAAATTATACTTGTAACATGCCATTAAATAAAAAAAAGGCCAAAAGCACAAGTCATTACAGATAATTGTTATGCTTCTCTGTATCTTCACCTGTGCTTTTAATTTACTTTCTAATTTTCTTGCATGTGTGTGAATAAGTTTTGCATTAAAATGTGGACTCCTTATGCTATATTCTCTATCCTTCATTAAACAAATAACATGGACAAATATAAGTCATCACTGTTCTCACCAACATTTGTGATTGCCATGGTAAAAACACGTTATTCTTATCTTGTTTGTTATACAATCAAGATCATACTATGACCTTAGAAATAACTGTAATAATTTTATGTGATCTTAAGACCACTTACGGCATCACAGAGCCTACTACATCCATGAAGAAGGGCTAAGGATCTGAACTCCGCATTCAGGTTTCCTGTTACAGGCATGGTTGTCTGTACCAGCATGTGTTGGTGAGCAAGAGGAAGCTACAGCACAGCAGGGACATGCTAACTCTTATACCTTGAGTTGTAAAAAAGAAAAACAGCTTCTTCTTCTTCTTCTTCTTCTTCTTCTTCTTCTTCTTCTTCTTCTTCTTCTTCTTCTTCTTCTTCTTTTTCTTCTTCTTCTCCTTCTTTCTTCTTCCTTCTTCTTTTCCCCATATGACTTATCTTTTATGTTTTTATTCTTTGAGGATTTCATACAGTATGTTTTGAACATATTCTTTTTCTTCCCCCAACTCCTCCTAGATTCTCCCTTACCTACTTGCCCATCCAACTTCATGTTCTTTTTCTCTTATTTAAAATCATAAACAAAAATCCCACAAAAGAAGGAAACAAAAAAGGCAAAGCCAAAAATAAAACATGGAGTCCAAATTGTGGTGGCAAATGACTCCTGTGTATAGGGCCTTTCCTGGAATGTGAATGATGTACACAGTATTTGTCATCCCATTGGTGAAAACTGATTTTTTTCCCATCCTAGAAAATATAAATAAAGAATAGCATCTTGGCTAGGAGTAGGACTTTGTGCTCACATTCTCTTTTCAATGCTGGGATTTTGTCTGGCTTTATCTAGTACAGGTCTTACATGTGAACCTGCCCTGTTGTATTTATACAATGCTATTTCCTTGAAGTTATACATAACTCTAGCATTTACAATCTTTCCATCTCCTCTTTCACAATGACTTGAGAAGAGGGATGTGATAAAGACAACTCACTTAGAGTTGAGTGTTCCTAAGTCTCTCATTCTCTGAATGTTGTCCAGTTATGGGGCTCTGTGCTTATTACCATTTACTGCAAGAAGAAACTTCCCTGATAAAGATTGGATGATGCACTCATCTATGGGTATAACAAGATCACAAAACCTTTTTATTGTTTTGTTCATTTACCAGCATAACAGTAGTAGGTTTCCCCTAGGGCCATGATATATTTATTATCAAGTTCTTGGCATCATTAATATTGTTGGGGATGGGTTCCATCCCATGGAGCATGCCTTAAATCTTCAAAAAGTGGTTAGTTATTTATATAACATTTGTGCCACTATTCCACCAGTGGATGTATCTAGCAAGAAAGTCATTATTATAGTTTGCTAGTTAAGGCTGCCAATTATTTTTATCTTCCAGTAGTATACCTAATACCTTCTAGCACTATGAATGTTAGCCAGTAGGAGTGAAACTTCCAATGGAAAGTCAGCTAATTTTTTTAATGTTCTTTTTTGTAGATATTGAATTATAAATATAAAAATATGGCTTTTTGGTGATCTTAAAAAAAAGACAACTTAATATCCAGAACCAGCCAAAGTGAGGAGAATAAGAGGCTGAATGTTCAGCCCTACAGTAAGATGTACCATACCTCTCCTCCCAAGTTTCAGAAATCATTTCAGAAGAGGGGGCTGAAAGAGCCAGAAGAGGTAGATGACTACAAGGAAGCATCATCTGGGCACAGCAAGGCAGCTGTACAAATAAACTCATAGCAGTTGTCAGAGAATACACAAAACCTGTAACAAGCTGCAACAGACTAAATAACAGAATGGAGAAGAGAGTTGGGCACACAACCCTACTACTAGCCACAGAACAACTGGCTGCTGGGGAAGGAAAGATAGTGTTTTATGTAAGAGTGCAGCCCATGGTAAGTCAACAAGCTCCAGTGGAAGAATACACACCCAATAATATTTTGGGCAGCATAAATTAGTCTTGAATTTTCCTTTTTTTTGGTCTGGTTTGATTTTTTTCATGGCACAAAGTTGGGTGGATAGGAAAGGAAACATGAATCTGGAAAGAGTTGGGGGGCCAAATATGACTCAAACACATATGAAACTCAAAACTCTCCAAGAACTCATTAAAATTAAAGTATTAATATTAAAAATCACACATGCAATGCTTGAAGTTTTATATAACTCCATGCAAATCATCCAAATTTAGAATTTTGATCATCATGGTTATGTTGTTATTCCCAATACTCAGATAAGCATAAAAATGGCAGGACTAAAAGAAGAGCTTCCTTCCTACATGCTTCCAGGGTCCTATGTGTGCAAAGAGATGGAAGAACTAATACAAAACTCTTTACACATATATGAATACTGTATTCTTGACTGCTGCTTCAAGGTCACAGTCTGTTGATTCAGTTACACTCACCACCAATCGAATATCCTTTATCTCCCCAATCCCAACATTGATTTTCTTCTTCTCATTCACTGGTAGCCGGATATTTAGAAGATAATACTTATGAGCCACTGACCCAATTTCCATGAAAGGAAGGACATCACATTCATAATGACGACCTTCATGCTCTAGAGTCTGGAAAAAAAATTAGATGGAATGAGACAGATTACTATTTACAAAAGACTATGTGCATTCATTTGGATTGAACTCATATCACCAATTTTTAAAATGCTATTGAGTTAAAGTGCACATTAAAGACACAGATCTACAAGGCATATTGGAATCCTGTATGTCCACTGAACTATTTCACAGAGATGGAGGGAAAGAAGAGAGGAAAAGGGGGGGGAGAAGGGAGAGGAAGAAATCAGCTTCATTTGAGGTAAAACCAAAAAAAATAGGTAAAAAGCAGAGATCTCTTCTGTCCTTTGACACCTTTCTTAGACCTAGAATCCACATTAGATCTTTGCATCAGACTGCTCTGGTCTACTATGTTTAGGGAAACCCTAAGAGATCTCCATAGACTCCCTGTATGTCCAGGAGGAAAGAAATTGCTGAAATCCATCACAATCTTGATGATGGCTAAATTTTCACAGTGAAATATAAAAAGATGAAATTATCTTCCTCTTATCAATCTGACAAAAAAAGCCAAGGTCCATTGGGGCTGGAGAAATGGCTCAAAACTTAAAAGCACTTGCCACTCTTACAGAGGATTCAAATTCCATTCTCATCATCCATATAGGAGGTTAAACCTGATTATAGATTGAGATTCAAGGTACCTTATTCTGGATTTCATGGACTGTGTGGTTGCTTGAAAGAAAATGGCCCCCATAGGGAGTGGCAGTATTAGGAGGTGTGGCTTTGGTGGAGTAGGCATGGCCCTGATGGAGGAAGAGCGTCACTGTGGGCTGAGCTTAGAGGTCTCCTATGCTCAAGCTATCCTCAGTGACACAACATAGACTCCTGCTGCATGTAGATCAAGATGTAGAATGCTCAGCTCATTCTTCAGCACCATGTTTGCCTGAATGCTGCCATGTCCCACCATGATAATAATGAACTAACTAACCTCTGAAGCCAGTCCCAATTAAATGTTTTCTTTTATAAGAGTTGCCATGGTCATGATGTCTCTCCACAGCAATAGAAACACAATCTAAGACAGCTGCATGCAGGCTGTATACTTATGTACATACAGGAAAAATACTAATACACATCTGATATGGGAATTCAATCCATTTCTGCCAATAACTTTTGGGATGACTAGCCCTAATGGCATGGTTTTCTCTGGGTACATGACCAGATAAAACTAAAATCTAGGGTCTAGTATTGTCACAAATCTCTTTCCACTCATTTATCTTTTACTCCTTAGAGCATATCTTTAGATACATTACTATCTTACCAGTTAAACATTCTGTTTTGATATTAATAATGTTTAAGTTTTCCACCGTGAACAATAAATTTTCCTAACAGTGATCTCTGGAATCCCAAAAAAATGATGGGGCCCCACAACAACAATTCTATCTGGTCCATAATAATGGCATTTGAGACACCATTCAAAGATTGGTTTTGGACTACAAATTGCTTGGGACAATTCCAAGGAAAAGAGCAATATGACACTACCAGAACGCAGTGATCCCACAGCAGCAAAACCTGAACATGCTAATGCCATTGAGACACAAGAAAATGAACTTGAAAATTACTTTATGAAGATCATAGAGGTTCTTAAAGAGGAAACAAAAGATTCCCTTAAATAAGTTGAGCAAAAGACAAACAAAAAAGTAGAAGAAATCAATAAATTCCTTAAAGAAAGTCAAGAAAAAACCCAATCAAATTGGTGAAAGAAATAGTTCAAGACTTGAAAACCGAAATAGAAACAATAAAGAAAACTGAGGGAATTCTGGAGATGGAAAAGCTGGTGAAGCAAACAGGAACTACAAATGCAAGCATCACCAACAGAATCCAGGAAATCTAGGACACCATGAATAAAACAAAGAATGATATGGCTAGAAGGTGGAGAAGAATGCCAGCTCAAATGCAGAGAAAACATATTAAACAAAACCATAGAAGAAAACTTTCCTAACATAAAGAAAGACATGTCTATAAAATATAAGTAGCTTACAGAACACCAAATAGGCTGGACCAAAACGAAACAAAACAAAAACAAACAAAACAAAAACCCTCACCAAGTAATAATCAAAACACTAAACCTACAGAATAAAGGAAGAATTTTAAGAGCTGCAAAGGAAATAGGCCAAGTAACATATAAAGGCAGACTTATTAGAATTCCATCTGACTTCTCCAGGGAGACTCTAAAAGCCAGAAGATCCTGGAGACACATTTTACAGATATGGACCATGGATGCCAGCCCAGACTATTATACCCAGCAAAACTTTCAATCAGCACCAATAGAGAAAGCAAGATATTTCATGACAAAACCAGATTTAAACAATAGCTACCCACACAAATCTAGCACTACAGAAAGTACTAGAAGGACAATTACAACCCAAGGAACTCAATTACATCCACAGAAACACAGGCAAAAGATAATCTCACACCAGCAAAACCCAAAGAAGGGAAACACACACACCCATCACCACCGACAAAACCAAAAAAGTAAAAGGAATTGACTGGTCAATAACATCTCACTATTAATGGATGCAATTCACAAATAAAAAGACACAGGCTAAAAGAATGGATATAAAAATTGGCTCTATCCTTCTGTTGTATACAAAAACACACCTCAATCTCAAAGACAGACATTATCTCACAGTAAAGTGTTGGGAAAAGATTTTCCAATCAAATGGTCCTAAGAAGCAAGCCAGTGTAGCTACCCTAATATATATCTAACAAAATAGACTTCAAACTAAAATTAATTAAGAGATGGGGAAGTACATTTCATGTTCAAAGGAAAAATCCAGCAAGATGAAGTTTCACTTCTGAACATATATGCCCCAAGTACAAGGGCACCCAGATTTGTAAAAGAAACTGCTAAAGATTAAATCACACATCAAGCTTCACACACTGATAGTGGGAGACTTCGACACCTCAATCTCACCACTGGACAGGTCTGCCAGACAGAAACTTAACAGAGAAACAAGTGAACTAAAAGTGGTTATAACTCAAATGGACTTAATAGACATCTACAAAACATTATACCTAAACACAAAAAATATACACTCTTCTCAGCACCTCAAGAAATCTTCTCTAAAACTGACCACATCTTTGAACATAAAGCAAATCTCAAAAGATACAAAAAAATGGATCATAGCAACATTATTTGTAATAGCCAGGACCTGGAAGCAACCTAGATGCTCCTCAAACAAAGGATGAATAAAAAAAAATAATGACCTCATGAAAATTTCAGGCAAATGGATGACACTAGAAGAAATCATCCTGAGTGAGGTAACACAGACACAGAAAGGCAAACAGGGTATATATTTACTCATAAGTGGATATTAGACATAAAGCAAAGGATAAACAGCCTACAATCCACAACCCGAGAGAAGCTAGGAAACAAGAAGGACCCTAAGAGATTCTCACCCCACAATAAGGGGAAATAGACAACATCCCCTGAGTAAATTGAGAGCATAAGGGAGGGACATGGAGGTAGGAAAGAGAGGAGGGGAGAAAGGGAGTGAGGAGTAGAACATGAGGGATTGTGAAGGTCAAGTTGTGGGAAAGACAGAAAGGGAGAGCAAGGGAAGAGATACCTTGATAGAGGGAGCCATTATGGGGTTAACAAGAAACCTGGCACTAGGGAAATTCCCAGGAATCCACAAGGATGACCCCCAACTAAGAATCTAAGCAATAGTGGAGAGGTTACCTTAACTACCCTTTCTCTATAGTCAGATATGACAACCTTAATTGCCATCATAGAGCCTTCATCCAGTAGCTGATGGAAGCTGAAGCAGAGTTCCACAGCTAAGCACTCCTGGGGTCCAATTGTAGAGAGGGAGGAGTGAAAATATGAGCAAAGGGGTCAAGACAATGTTTGGGAAATCCACAGAAACAGCTGACTTGACCAAGTGGGAGATCATTGACTCTAGACTGACAGCTAGAGAACCTGCATATGAAGGAACTAGAACCCATGGACATGGATGTCAGTTGGGGGGGTTGGGCAATCTATGGGGCCACTGGCAGGGGATCCAGTATTTATCCCTAGTGCATGAACTGTCTTTTTGGAGCCCATTTCCTGTGGAGGGATACCTTGATCATCCTAGATACAGTGGGGAGGGCCTCAGTCCTGCCCCAAATGATGTGACAGACTTTGATGATTCTCCATAGGAGGCCTTACCCTCTCTGAGGAGTGGAAGGGGGATGGAATGGGGAGATGGAGGGGGGAGTGGGAGGTCAGGAGGGAGACAGAACTGGGATTCGGTATGTAAAATAAGATTGCTTTGAAAATAAAAAAGAAAAATAATTTTTAAAAACAATAAAAATAAATCTTTGAAATACATAAAAAAAATTGGAATAACTCCTTGTATCTTATTGGACCACCACAGGCTAAAATTAAGTTCAACAACAACACAAACTACAGAAAGCCTACAAACTTATGGAAACTGAACCACCTGTGGGTAAAGGAGGAAATAGAGAAAGAAATTAAAGATGTCCTAGAATTCAATGAAAGTGAATCTACCACATACCCAAACTTATGGGACACAATGAAAGCAGTACTAAGAGGAAAGTTCATAGCACTAAGTACCTACATAAAGAATTTGGAGAAATCTCATATATTAGACTTAACAGCTCACCTGAAAGCTCTAGGGTGAAAATAAGCAAACTCATCCAGGAGTAGATGGAAGAAAATAATCAAATGCATGGCTGAAATCAATAAAACTGATACAAAGAGAACAATACAAAGAATCAACAAAACAAAGAGTTGGTTCTTTGAGAATCAACAAGATAGACAAACCATTATTCAAATTAACCAAAAGGAAGAGAGAGAATATCAAAATTAACAAAATCAGAAACAAAAAGGGGAACATTTGACAGACTACAAGGAAATACAGAGAATCATTAGGTCATATTTCAAAAACCTGTACTCTCAGAATTGGAAAATCTAAATGAAATGGACAACTTTCTTGATAGGTATCATATACCAAAATTAGATCAAGACCACATAAACAATTTAAAAAGACATT